TTCTCAATTCTGAAGATTTTCAATAATAAAACCTCCCAATGTGAACCCAATAGACTTTAATTGTTACTGAATGCTTATTGCTTGTGGCACTATGTTCAAGGATCAAAAGATTAATATAAAGCAGCAAAAGCATAAATGCGTTCATCACTGGACTTCATTCAGACGAGCAGTTGAGGAAGGACTTATTGATCCTAAGAAAGCATTTCAAATTGGGCTAAGAGGAGGAGGCTATGGCCCTGATGATTATGACTGGCCACTAGAACAAGTATAGATAATAAACTGTACATGTACATGTATTGTTTAAGTGTATGTACTTTCTCTATTGTGTATAGAAGATGATAATAATCACTTTTTGTTGTTATTATTATTTTAGGGTTTTCACATGTTTCCAGCCCATGACTTATGGTATAAGTCCTTGGTTCCATTGATGGCTGATATCAGAAGGGAATTAGGATCAACTCAACCGGTTTACTTAACATTTGATATTGATGCTATTGATCCAAGCTATTGCCCAGGAACAGGTATACTCACAATCACAGCAGCCATATTGTTAATAGGAGAATGATGTATATCTATTTACTAATAATGTAACACATGAATGCATACACAAAGTGAAGCCCTTTGATAAGAAACCTCTTAATGTAGCACTATGTAATATAGCCATTATGCATCATATTTTAATTGAATAAATTACTATTATTATTATTATTATTATTATTATTTTAGGTACTCCAGAGATAGCAGGTTTGACAACGGCACAAGCTCTTGAGGTAATTAGAGGTACAAGAGGTCTAAATATAGTCTCAGCTGATGTTGTTGAAGTAATTATTATTTAATACATTATTTTAATTAATACTGTTGGTTAGGTGAATCCATTGTATGATGTTAGTGGTGGTACTGCAATCACAGCTGCTAATTTGTTGTTTGAAATTTTGTGCTCTCTCCCAGGTGTCAAATATAAACAGAGATAACAATATTTTGATTTTGAAATTATTATATTTATTTGTATTAATCAATCATTTATTACGCTTCATTAAAATTAATTTTTTGACTGCTACATTTAAGAAATTAAAAGGGCCAGCTCGAAAAAGTAAACACTACATTATACTAGACAGACAGCATTAAACTGTTGGTTCAGCAAAAAATAAAAAGGCAGCATTAATAAACTGTTAATTCAGCAATCAGCAACAATTACATGTAAAATCAATCAGTGTATAAAATATATCCATACATGTATGTTTATACATGTACATTTAATTGCTTGGTACTTTGTTTTTTTTTTTTTTTCTTTCGTATTCGATTGCATCAAAAATATTCCATGTCATATCAAATGTATCTTCTTCATCAATATTTCTATCAAACATTTTTCGCAAATCTTGAGGAACAAAAACTAAAAATGTCAAAGATTTACTACAAATTGATTTTAACAGCATCTTCTAGACCAGTCTTAGTTACTGACACTGTTTCTATCAAGTAACCAAGAAGAATACCATTAAGCACTGTCTCACTGAACACCCACCAAATCACGAAGTAGATTCTTGAGTATATTGATGTCCTCCTAACATATGCTTCAACTATGACATGCCAATTGTTGACTATCATCAAATTCCAAAGTAAAACAAGTGTAGAACCAAAATCTTCAAAATTGTACGGCTGATATTTCAACTTTTCATACGTATCACATTCTGCAGCTGCTTCAGTGTCATTGAGATTCACTACACGAAAGATGGCCATTCCAATAACTGCAAACTCATAATAAAATAAATACCCCAGCAGTAGAAATGGAACAAGTACAACTAATACTCTTATTAATGATTTTATAATCATTCCAAATAACGGTATTTCAGCAAGCATTCGGATCATGCGGAAGACAATAATTATAATGGTTGCTTGAATCATATCAATTAAAACTGGTAGTGTGTCACAATCTTGATATGTTCCTTCATTTAAGCAATCAGCATGCCAAAATCCCAAGAAAATGAGGGCCAGAACCAACAGTAAATCAAATAGTTCAATAAAGAAGATTAATCGAGATTTATTAAATCTGAGACAATGTCCACAGAAAAACCATTTACAGTAGCATAGTATGACCCTTTTTGATACTTTGCCCAGGTAAAAAAAAAATTTGGCACGCAATGTAATTTCTTTGGCACACAATGTAGTTTCGTTGGCAAACGATTTTTTAAAATGAAAATAGGTTTTAATGAAAAGAAGTGCTGCTCTCAGAAAAAATTCCCCTACCAGTAAAATGGAGAATGCTAGTGAGGCTATTGCCAATGGTGAATGAGGCTCTGTAAAGCTATCATTGTAGTCAATGATGAGTAAACAGGTCAGTGTAATAAACTGTACTAGAGCTATTACTAAACTAAATATGTAAATGAAAACAATTAAGACTTTTAGCTGTCTGCAGCAACATTTGCAGATTTTGTACTCAACATTTTCCAAATCATTGAATGGTTTTTTTGTTTTGTGAACAATGTCAAACAAAATATCAACAAATTTGTCTCTATCTAGATTTTGCTGATCTGAGATGTTAGAGTCTTTTACCAAATTTTTAAATTCATCTTCATTGACAAGACTCAATTTGGTAGCATATTTCTCTATTGTGCTACAGACCAATTTGCCTTTGCTATCTTTTGATTTCTCATATGCTATTTCAAAACTTTCAGTGCGATGTTCGTAGGTTTGTTGCATGGATTCTTCAATGAAATTATTAAATTCAATAGCATAGCCTGCTGTCAGTACCTTTAAAATGAGGTAACCTTCTAAAAAATAATAAATACCAAAAAAAAGAAATGATAAGCGATCACGATCATAAGCAGGTGTTGCAAAATCAGGACTATTTGCTGTTGAAATATAAACAATTAAGTTCCAATAAGCTTCAGCTGAAGAATTGAAGTATGTTTTTCCTTCATTGACAGTATCAGGATCAGCAACGTAATGCTCTTTATCAAAATGAGTGGATTGCAAAAGATGAGGAAAGGCAGCAAATCCTATGATCATAAAGAATAATGGTACCAAAAAGAACAGCACAAAAAGGCCAATGAGAACAACAGTGGTATATGCATGAAACATGGCCCACAAAGCTTTCTTTAACATTGTAACTTGAATTATCAAAAAGACTGGGCGTATTATCTGTCTTACAAGTATAAGAGCATTCAAATGAGGGTTTGCTGCTGACATGAACAAGATAGTCCATGTTAAAGCAAGAGTGACTACATATATGACATATGTGATGTACTGAAATGGTTTAAAAACTAAATTCTTTTCTGTTCCAGATTGATTGTCCCTGCAACAAGGCCAACAAAAATAAAGCAATATCCAACCTCTAATGAAAACATCGACAGTTAAAATAAGAATTAGAAATAACTCAATAGTCCAAAATGTCCAGAATCCAATGGGTGATACTGATGCTTCTTCATTCTTAAGATAATTGGTGGATTTGGTGAATGAGCTTTGCACCTCTCCAAGTGGTAGAAGAAGAAGACCAAAAGCAGCAACACGCAGTAATGTTTTAAAGAATACTGAGTGATATGAAGCTATTACTTTCAATCTCCACTTATCCTTTAATCCATCAGCAGTAGGCTCATGATGAAATGCATCCAAAATGGCACACTCAGCAACTAACTTATCATTATTATTACTACAGAGAGGTATTCTCTCTGTGGCTCTAGGATCTTCCGCTTCTTGTGTATTCATTTTTTCTACAAAAATAAGCGATAGAATTGTGTTATGGTTGTCACAGCTAAGAATTCTCTTTTGTTAAATATTATTTTATTATTTTTAATTTACTGGTAATGCTTATCATTTATAGCTAATAAATAATAAGCAGCAAATTAAAAATGTAAATATCTAGCTTGCTAGGCAAGGTCCATGCATGGAATGATGTTGCAATTATGAAATAGAATTAAGATCTTCTGCGTCCATCCTTCATTATATGTAGGAAACACATGATGCATGTAAATATATGTTTATTATTCTAAATTCTAACAATTATGACAAATTTTTTAAAGTAAAATTTCTATTACAGTAAAATAAGAAATAGATAATGCATTACTACAGCAATAAGTACTTACTTGGATATAGAGCAATTGAAATCGACCAAGAGACAAAGAAACCAGGGCTACTTGTAATTATACTGTATGCAGCAAACTAAAGTAGATGCTAATTTAAACCAGGGCTATAATACTTCTAATTGTATTCATCAGTTTCAGGAAACCAGGAATGGAGTAACCTGATTGATAATAATTGAATAGCCTAATCATAATCAACATTTACATGCAATGACCTTGTGATTTTTTCAGGTGAGTGAGGTTATGAACCTCACAATAGAATACAAATCACATACTACAATGTTATTATAATCATACAAAACACAGGGTAATCCCCTGTACAAGTACAGTGTACTTTCAATTTTTCATCTATTAAACGGCTACTGTCACAGCAGCAATACAAAGAGTAAATATCAGTTTCAAAAGACAAGAAACTCTTTATGTTTACAGTTTTCATCAATTTTAGGAAGTTATGAATAATAATACAAATGATCAGAAAATCAGTATTAATCAAAACGATTTACTACTTACTTAGTACTTACTTGATATCAACCAAGAGGGTTAGCATATACAGCAAACTGAAGTCAAATCAACCACAACAGATAATGAAATTAGGGTATTCATCAACAGGGGAATAACGTGATTGATAATAGCCTGATCATAATCAGCAAAAA